GCCTAAAGATGCATTCACACCAAAGTGAACGCTTGCGAACGAATAATTATTCGTAGAAAAACGTACCTGCAAAAGTTCGTTTGATCGCAAGCGTGTTTTGGTGTGGATGCACCTTTATATGAAAGTAGAACTTATCTATACAAACTTAATATAAGCTTTATAATTTTGGTGTGGATGCACCTTTACATGAAAGTAGAATTTATCAATACAAGTTTAATACATATAAGCTTTATAATATTATGTTCATATATATATGTATTTCTAAAATTGATTGATTTTAAGATAAGATAAACATCTTATTTTTATTATGTTTATTTTTAATTTTTAACGGTTTTTTCAATATTTTAGATGCAGATTTTCATGAGAATTATCTGGAGGCGATGTCATCATCTCCTATGTTGAAATGGAGTTGGTAACATTATCAAATTGTTGCCGGAATTTAAATGCATTCGTACACGAATCAAATGTTTGTGCTGTTGATGTTGGTCGAAAGAAAGGACAGTGCAGAGGTGATTCAGGCGGACCCTTACTGCGTGACCATAATATACAAATTTTCAGGTATCACTGAGAAATTGATAGTTTATTATAGACCAAAAGTACCCGATCACCTGCAAAAGAGATTTCTACTTAGAACAAAAGCTATTGGTAGGACGTATTTTAATATGGCATCCATTTAAGTAAAATTATTATTAAACACTTTTTTAAGTACATTTAAATTTATAAGTACATACCAACTGTGGACTTGCCAACGGCAAATAATTCACACACTACTCTGCATTCCCTAGAAGATTCTAACGTACATAAAGCAATTGCGATTCTTTTGTCAAGAGGAAGCACTTTACGCCAAATAATGTCTTATTTTTGTTAAGATTTTAACTGTTCAGACAGAACTGAAAAGCTTTTTTGAGGTATGTAGGATGATATATTTACAAATTTCTAAAATGGTCTTGGTACAGATGACGTTGTTCCAAGTAGTATAGCTTTATAGCAGCCTTCCACATGTTGAGTTAAAGTAGGAATGTTTTGTTTCTTCAATTGTAATTGCCTAAGATGCTACTTATTATTTTGGAGTAGCTTGACGATTTTAAGAAACATATTTTAATAAGAATTTCATATTTTTTTATTTATTTCTATTTTATGTTATTTCAAAAATCAAATTTCAATATCAAATTTTAAAATATCCTAGATACAAATAGTGTTTTGAGCATGTAATTCGATTTGTAATCAAAAAACATATGATTTAATTAATTTGGGGCAGTATGAACACTTACGAAATGTCTGAACATAGCATAAGTTATAGTTATGGTTATTTAGACAGCCAAATGTAATTAAAAATTACATGCTAAAAACACCACTCGTGTGTGCGAAAATAATAACTATAAAGAATGGTATTCAGTAGTTTTATTAGATTTAATGGATTTCAGGTATGTGGATTATTTTTTTTTACTCTTTTTTAAATTAGTAATAATTACAATTTTTTCTCTATATTCAAATTTAAAAATTTGCACTACTTTTAAAATATTTTTCCGTTTTTATTAAAGTCAACTGTTTTTAAAAATAAATGTCATATATTCGTTATCTCAACTTATCTTTGGTTCAAAATTTATCTCTCGCATAGTTGCATTAGAAATTTCGCTTAATTTCAGGCTTTGTTTCAATCAAATTAAGGCCATTTCCTTTAATATCGTCCTAACCTTAAAACTGAATTTTGTAAGGAGGAAACAACTTAATTTCGGTAAAACGAAGATGAAATTAAGATTTTTGTGACATTAAGGTCTGTCTGAACATAGTATTACTAGAATACTATGTTCACAATAGAACAACAATAATTGCAAAGAATATTATTCATTTTCGACATATTAACTTTAAATTTTATTACGTGTTTTGCACATATAAATCTAACAAAATCTCCATATTGTCCAGAGTTGCCATCGAAAGTAGTGCTTATTTTATTTGTTCTTTTGCGACATGCTTATAAAAGAAAAGGCCTAATATTAAATTCAAGAACACAAGAAATAGATTTTCTACACAAATTAATATTCAATTATATTGCATATAATCAGATCTTACATAACTTTCCGAACAAATTATGGAAAAGAGTAGAATTTCTATGCAAAAAATGACGCATACTGAAGAATGGAGACATTTTGACAACACATATAATGAAAATGCAAACAAATGCAAATAAGAGAGACAACAACACTTGCAGTTTTTGGCAGACAAAAAAAAAATATACAACAAATCGAGCCGATAAAAAATTTCATTAAAATATTACAAGTGTAATAGGAAACTGCACTTTGCGTAGTTCGCGCAAACATAAATATAAACAAATAAAAAAAGTGCGGGAAAATATGTTAGCAAGAATTGAAATTTAATATTTCTGCAAAAAAGCAATAAATATTAATATATAAGATTGTCGTGGCAATTAACCCTAAGTGTAAATTTTTATTGTCTATAATATATATATAGATATATATATATATAAAGGTATACGCAAAATTAACAAAAACGATAAAGAAAAACTATTAAAACTGTAAGTACAATAAGAATATCATTTTTAACATATAATTATATATATATGTATAAAAAAAATAAATTTTAATTCCGCATTTTGAAAAGTGAGAAAAGTCGCAAAAATAAGTCCTTGAAAATCATTATTTACCTGTTTCATGTCCTATTTTTATGCGATATTATGACTGCTTAAGGTTTAATAAATTAAATTTTTATTTTAGGAATATTCAATAAATAAAATTATTCTTAAAGTCATTAATAATGTCTTGCCGCCAAATTTCTTTTATTAAAATATGTGTAGTTGCTGCATACATTAGTAAATGATGAAATTACTTATGACGAATAATAGCCGCAATATAATTAAAGAGAACTTTAGTAATTTTCTTAATATAATTAATATAATTTTAGTATATTTATTAGTTAATATTATTTTTGTATGCACGTACAAGGGTATTTAAAATATTTAATTACATTATGATTATTATAATAAGCCTTGACGCAGCACGACCCCAAAGCTTTATTTGTGTGGCTGAATTACTTTTTTAAAATTTATTAAAATTAAAAAAATCTAAAGTATAAATTTAAATTTGAAAGAAATTCAATATATATAGAAAAATTTTATATTTTTACTTTACATAATTTAATAAAATTAATAATGTCTTTGATATTTATCATATCATAGCTTAGCGATTTTTTGCTTAACATATTTTAGGTAGATTCTGTTAAATTAATGCGACGTTTATATATTAATGTCATGATATCTTGAAATTATATGTTTTTAGTAAAAAATTCAAATTTTTTGACATAATATAGATAACAGTTACCCTCGAACTTTAAACCGTAAATTTTTATACACAGACCGTCATAGTTTTTTGGTTGTTTTTAATGACGGTACAATTTCAGATAGATAAATCTACAATAACCCTGTGCACCACAGCTTTTTATAATTTTTATATAAATTACTAAACCGTAAAGCTAATCTTTTTTATAATTATCGACATAAAATAGATTTTCAATGTTTATATAAATTATTTAGAGGTAAACGTAATCTATTTTAAATGATCAATATAAAATAGATTATAATAAATATATTTACCCACAAGTGTTAGCGAACTTACAACTACTTTAGACTTAGATTTAGATTTATAAGAAGTAAGAAAATGTTTCTAAAACAATGAATGGCCTGTAGACTGCAAAAGAAGTATTGGTTTCTATATGCAATGATTTTAAAAAATATATCAAATTTAAAAAAAAATTACTTCTTATAATTTATTCACATTGTATGAAAAGATATTGCAAAATATGAAATATGTATATATTTAAATATATATAAATATGTTTAATTTTATTTATTTACATGAAATCTTTATTTTTAATTTCTTTGAATTGATTAATTTAATTTTTGTGTTTAATTTTTAGGTGCAAAACGTACGCTATATGTAAAATAGCACATTGAATTTTTTAAACATATTTTTATTTAAAACTGTAAGTAATAATATAAGTATAAAAATTTTTTAATTTAGTATATTATATAAAATATAATTTAAATTATAAATTAATAGACATTTTTTTGTACTTTCCTAATAAATTTAACTCGAAAGCTTTGTCCTCTTACTGAATTCCATCGTCCTTAAGATAAGTCAATATCTAAGAAAGTGTAAAATGAATATATACAATTTTATTTTTAGATTTAAAAATTTGTTTATCTATTACTTACATAAAGCATTTTGTTAAATGCATAATATAAACAATTAGCTTTGCTTAATTGCTTTTGTTTAACTATTAGAGTTTATTGAACGTACCGATTTGTTAGCACCTTGCTTAATTAGCGAAATGTTTTTATTTAGAACAATTGTGTACTATACAAATTTATTTATTTGGTTTGAAACAAGTAAATAATAATAATAACTCATTATTTGATATATACTTGTTTCAAACAAAATGCACAGATGTTCTCATTTTTATTAAAATTAATTGTGTGGTGAAAATATTGTGTTTTATAGAATTATTAAAATTTATATTCTTTTATTTGCATTCGATAAAATATTCTTAAGCTATAATTTATTTCGACAGTTTTTTTTTTCACTTAGACTTCAAACTAAATTATAATATAAAATTAAAATCACAGTGTTGTCAACGTTTTTTGTTAATTTTTTTAAATAAAAAACTTTCATTAGTAGCAAATTTTATAGCGGAAGATAGAATCTAAATTCAAGAATCTCTCAGTATTACAGTTCGATTAGAATTGTTTGTTGTGTTCTAAACTCTACCTTGTTTGGTGGAATAATTTCCGGCAAGGTACAACGAACTTCAAAATGCTTTACGGTGGCATGTTAGTTTCTGACAGGTCCCTTATGTTTCTTTCCCATGTCCGCAATAGAATCGGTTAAGCACAAAGATAAAAAATTTTTTCATATTTTCAACAAAAAAATCTTCAAGATTGGTTTCGTCTATTGTGAAATTAAATAATGAAACTCATAAAAGCATTAATTATAGCCTATATGCCTATAGATACTTTTTAGAAAACGACAATATGTTCAACTATAAGGAAGAGAATAACTATGTGATGAATTCGAAATTGAACTGGCTCATGTTATTGTTCAAAGTGAGTTATTCTTCATATTATAATATGGTGTATTAAAAACACAAACCAAACAAAGGATAACAAGGTTATACGCAAGTAAATTGATCCTAATCACACTACTGGTAGCTTGACCATTGAAAATAAATTGAGTTGCATTCACACTATTGTAAGACTTGAATCTTGAAATTGGTTTTGTGTAATCGTAAATAACACATGACATGTTGCATTAAAAAACTAATACTCTCCTCCTTGTCTCCTCTATTAGAAATCGATATCAAGATTGAGGCTGCCGCTAGTATGAATAAATATCTGACAAACAAATTAAATTACTTTTATTTGTGGTCTGACCGTTTCAACAAAAAAGTTCCACATCGTTGCTTGCTGAAATACGATTTATACCCATATATAATATATAATAGACTAATTCTTGACGTGGAAATTTGCAAAGATACATATCGCATGAATATAAAATTTAATATCGAAAAAATATTTAAATTCCTTAATTACGATCTTATGATAGGGTAGAATAATATTTTGTTTTTTTTTTCATATAATCTCTCAAACATCGAGTAATTCATTAACATAATTATGAGAACCGAAGTTTTATTGTCAAATAAGTTTATCTATAATAGACTTTAATTCTGCTGTGTATGAGTGAGTACGGTTGCAAGACACTGCCGGGTGCATGTCCCGGAGTCCCTCGTCGAGTTCGATGAGCAAGCACCCTGTGAGCTACAACAACAATAACTTGACTGAGTAGTGATTTACTTAGTGGGTTTACTGTTCAATATAATTGTCGTAAGGTAGGTAATAAAATGCCGTTTTTGTCAGAAATTTAGAGGTCGAAATGAAGGATAGTGTATGACTATCAAGCTTTACTTTAAATAAGAAAGAGAATATTAGAAAAATAGCACTTCACTACATCACATTATCTGTAAAGAATCTCTTATCAGTCAGTAAATATTAATTATAAACAGTAGATCAAGTATACATTTTTGCTTTATTATTATAATTTCCCTAGTTAGTATCACTGATTTTTTATAAGAGCATAGACCGGAATCCTAGTTTTATAGTTAAAATTAATACTAACATTTTTAACAGTTTTCGACCATGGATAAAGCTTATTTTCTTTTCAAAATTTTTCTTAAATATAATATTTATATAATATGATATTGTTTTTTATAGTTGACTTTAAATTTTTTTTTATTTTTTCGATATGTTATGCGTCTTCATTAATAAAAATGTTCAAATTTGTGTAATATCTTGTAAATAAAAATATAAGCTTGTTATTCTAATAATATATTTTTTATGCAATTTTTCAAATTAATATAGTAGTATAAAGAAACACTATGTAATTTTACTTCATCAGTTTACTTCATCACACTCGTCGCTAGATCCCATCTACATACATCTGCAATCATTCAATGTTGGAGAGTTCTCAATTCCTGCTAGAAATAGTCATTAGAAATGTGTTCGCATTCAGTTGTTCAGTTGTTCTTGCAATTCGGAAGAGAATTGAGCGCCGCCGGTAGGAAAGACTACGTAGTCGAAATATACAGATATAAAATAAAATATTTCTGAAAACAAAATGAAAGCGTCTCGTTCGTATGTGCTTTCTTGTCTTTATAGTGAAATACGTCGAAGATTTATTTTTAGAACATTCAAATAAATTTAAGATGTATTTTAATTAATTAAATTTTTTCCAATATTAATGATAGTTCATTAAATAAAAAAATAAAATCGTATAATGAAAATAAAATTTTGCATTTTAAGAATATAAATTCATTATATAAGTTAAAATTAAATTTAAAATATTAAATTTTTAAAAAATATGAATTTAATCGAACAAACGAACAATTAAAAATGTCGAAAACGCAGAGTCCCTCATCTTCTTTACGCAGTAATCAGCCCCGTAGGCAGGTGAAGCGTTGCTGTCGTAATTTTTTTACGTTTATGTGCACCCAAGTTGGTGTTGGAGCACTAATCGTACTGTACGCTATATTTGGGGCGGTATCGTTCATGAACATCGAACGTGAATATGTGGATAAGACAGCATCCGAAGTGGTTGCCTTAAGGCATAACTGCTCAGTGGAGTTATGGCACATAACTGAAGAACTTAATACATTCGATAGATTTAAGTGGCAAAAGGAAGCAGAAGCAGTATTAAAAGAGTACCAAACACAAATTGCTGCAATGATTAAAAATGGTTACGGCGGAAGAACACCACAACAGATTTGGTCCTTCCCAGCAGCACTTATGTTTTGTTTGTCAGTTATTACTATGATTGGTTATGGAAATATGGTGCCACGTACGCCTTGGGGAAAGGGCTTTACAGTTATATATTCCACTTTTGGCATACCACTTTATATATTGTATTTTTTAAATATGGGAAAAGTATTGGCGCGTTCCTTTAAGTTTTTATATCGCTCTTTGCATGAATGCACGCAAGATAACTCATCCATTGATAAACGTTTGGATGCACTAGAGTGCGGTAGTACTGGAAATGATGAACGTAAAAGGATTATTGTACCTTCAACTGCTTGTTTGTGGGTTATTATCTTCTATATAATAACGGGCACAATTATGTTTGCTAATTGGGAGAAATGGTCATATCTTAATTCATTCTATTTTTGTATGACGTCATTATGTAAAATCGGTTTCGGTGATTTTGTGCCGGGTGCAAGTTTGGTAACGTCTGCAGATATCGAAGCGGCTCGGAAAAATGCTATTGAAGATGCTACAGCAGATCCAAATGAACTATTTGAATTACAACTTATGACCGATCAAAATTCAAAATTAGCAATAAATTTTCTTTACATGTTAATAGGCATGGGCCTAGTCGCAATGTGTTATAATTTAATGCGTGAGGAAGTGCGTGTGAAGGTGCATGATATGAAAGAGGACACCAAAGTTTGTCTTGAAGATACAAGAAAACGATTCGGACGTTGTTTTGATAGTAATGACTCTTATGACGATGATTACTATTAAACAAATAATTTTAGTATATAAAACATTTTTAGTGTATATAGATAGCATTGTCAATTTAAAAGATTTCATGCCACATATAATTTTTTTAAATTAATCTAATTACGTGTTTAAATTTTTACTCGTACAAATACAAAACTAAAGTTTTATTTATTATCTTAATGTGCAAAAATGAGATTTTTATTAAAAGGATTGTTGGAGGTGCGTACTACCAGATTTAGGAATTTTGAAAAAGTAATTTATAAATAAATTTGCCAAATAGCTTTAAATATAAATACATTATTATTATTAATATTTGTTATTAAATTAACCTTTTAATGTTGCAGTACTTTACAATTTAGAGATACTAATCCTATATAAACTATGTAACATAATTTAGCATAAGAGACATACTATGGTGCCTGTGCTGTCTTCTCTGTTAATATTCTATATATCCAAAATGCAATTCAATTTCGTTTTATTTTAATAATTATTGAATATCATGATTTTTATTTTTTCACATTTTGTTACGATTGTAAACGTACAATATAATACCACATAGTATTTCTAATACTAAGCTATTTGTATATTCTTGATACTTGATTCTTGAGATATATAGGTTTTTAAAGTTGTAAATTTTTTACTTTGATGTTATGTTCATATATATTTCGATTGATATTATGCGAAAACATTGAGGCAAATATATTTCTGAGTATTTGCCGTATAAAGTACATAAGTACATACATTTTATTCTTTTAAATTCTAGCAGTAAATCCACGTATGAGAACCGGTTTTATAATCATTCTGCATATCCATATCTAATTTACTTTGGATAGTAATTTAAAGTTAATAAGTTGTAAATGGATAAAATATCTTATGCTTTAAAGAAGTTTCTCTTATTAACATGGCTTTTTTGTTGGGTTCGACCCATATAATTTATCTTTTTTTCTTCATTTATATTTTTGAAGTTTTCTTCAAATTACTAAAAACGTCTCGTACGTGTTTATGTTAATTTATAGAACATTATGGTGAAAAAGTTTACTTAACCAATTGCTGCAAATATTAAGTTACATATAAGAGTTAAATGGGTTGTATTATAATCTTAAAATCATGTGATAGTTGAGCATTTACGCTCATTAAATGCTTAAAAAATATATTCCAAAAATTGGAAAGAATCTTGTCATACCATAAACAAGGATTGGTTTCAATAATAATGAATTGAATAATATTGAATCGATAAATATCTAAAAATAATTCCACTTGTACTAGATGATGCTAGGGATAAAGGACATTGTTACACACTTGATTCATTGATATAGTTAATTAGTATTTGATAATAGTACGTTAGATTGTATATGTAATGCAGAATTATTAACTTTCAATATAGAAATAAACATATTTTTCTTCTTCTCTTATTTCAAGGCAATCATTGATAATTTTTTGCAGCTACAAAACCGTGTTACAAACTTCAGTGTAATGCTTGGTGGCGGCGCTGAACGTTTATGCACGCCAAGCACTTCAGCTGGTCCATTTCGAATATTTGCAGTTGCGGGGTTTCAAAATCGTATTAATGATATAGTATATTGTCCACCAATAATACGACAACCAACCCAAAATGTAGAAGATTCGACAGCGATCATATACTTTGGTGGAGATGTACAGGTATAAAATCAAAAACTTCATTATGTAATTTTCTAATTAAATACTTCATTTTCTTATTAAAACTACTTACAGGATTTTCCAGAGAGTATGGAGACGAACCGCGATAGTCGCGGGTATATGAAATACAATTTAGAAAATTCAGCTATACTATTGCGTGAGGCATTTCCGCTGTCACATATCATTGTCATACGCCCTGTTAGGTAGATATCTATATTTTTTAAACATTTAAAAAGAATTCTTTGACGAAAATGTATTTAAATACTAATATATATTAATAATACAATGTATTTTTAAATAGAATGGAGTTTAAAACTTTTAGTTGTTTTGACAACTTTGTGCGTGGAAACAATGCTGGAGTGCCGGATCATACGCCAATGAATCATGCTCTACAACATTTAGAAAAGTAAATCTAATAAAAATATAGATCTCAATAAATTTTTAATTTTTACTAAATACCTTTTTTTAGATTATTACAAAATCTATCTCAACGCCTTATATCTATACCAGAGAGCGAAATTATGGATCAGGCCGCACAAGCAGCTGCTGCTGCAGCAGCAGTTGCAACAGCACTTTCATCAAATCTGTCAACTGTTACAACTGATTCATCATCATCGTCATCGATATCAAATGATAATAATCAGGAAATGGATATTGATATATTGCAAGTTCAAGAAAATATTAGTGTTGATGGAGAAAATGCTGTGTTATTTCCCAACATAGCAGGTGCTGCAGATATCTCTAAGTCAACTGATGAAACACCAACAACTAATAGTAATGCATCTAATGCAGAAAATATATCTGTTTCAAATGTAACTGCAACAAAACAACATCCAACTACAGCGCAACAAAATAATGTTCAGCACTTAAATAATAGTAACAATTGCACTCTTCAAATTCAACAACAAAATCGTTCAAATAATAATCCATTGTGGTGGCGTGAAAATCTCAATTTAGATAAATCCAAATTAGTTCTGATTGGATTTAGCAAGGGTTGCGTTGTCCTCAACCAAGTGAGTCAAATTTAGTGTAAAAATCGTTACATTTTATATATTTAATAAGACACACTTATTGATTTTACATAGAGCTCAGTAGTGATATATTTATATGCCCTTATAAGTTTGTGTTATTTATGTAGATTAGATAATTGAGGACTTCTGTTAACTAAAGTAAACAAAGGTTAGGTTATGCTGGCAGTAAACAAAGCTAATTAGACAATAATGTGCAGTTTTATCCACGTTAGCAAAAAAAGAAACAAAACTCTTTCCATTTTTAAATTTTTATTCACATACATATCAGTTTGCTGATAGGGATAGAGTATGCCATCAGATAGATTATAATTCTGTAGAACTAAGTATATACCTTTTTGTTTTGACATTTTCTCCGGTGACTAGCGTTCGTCGTGTCAGGGTATTATCCTTAGAAAACACATCTTAGGCATAGGTCGATCACCATGTAAATGGTAAACGGAACCATGACAATGGTAAAGCTCCAGTTAGTAGTTAACTGAAGGTTTCGACACTAAAATATACAAATTCAGATTAGTGTCTCCTATTTGTAGTGAATAAAACATCTATAATATGTAACTACATCGTCCCAGTTTTTTCTGTCAAATAATGACTGTCACTAGTTGATAGGAACATCGTCCCTATCAAACTATGTTCCTGGGACATCGTCCCAGTTTTTTCTATTAAATAATAACTGTCACTATTTAATAGGAAAAACTGGGACGATGTAGTTACATATTATAGACGTTATAAGTTTTGTAGACGTACACATTAAGTTAGTATTTAAAAAAAAATATATGTCATTGTATATAATGATTTGGACTACATATAAAAGCTGAATTTATTTTTTTGTTCACTTGATATTTTTCTAATTGTTGCATTATTTGCTAACAGTTCGAATTTTTGTTACAATTTTTTTAGTATAGGAATACGGATATTCTTATACTTCCTGCACTT